ACGATAATACCCTTATTCCCCCCCCCTCGTTCCTTCCGCCCCCCTCCCTTTCATTCCCCGGCTTTCCAAATGGGTTTTTAATTTTTGTTCGTGGGGGCCCCCCCCCCCTGGAACAGACGTTTTTTTGAGGGTTTTGAATTTTTTCTTTAATATTTTACGACCCCCCGTTTTTCGCCAGGGGGGGGGGGATTAGAGGGGAGACCGGGGCAATCCCACCCCCCCCCCCGTTTGGGTCAAAAGGAGGGCGCCCCCCCCCCCCCCCCCCCCCCCCTTCTCATTCATTTCACCGCTAATTCTCGATTTCCCTGTGCCCCCCTTGCTGCTAACAGGCGTTCTTGTCAAGAAGGACGGCAGTGTCCAGACCATCACGAATAGTCACGACACTCTCAACCCGGGCGAATACGACCGCATCAGAAAGCTAGGGGGATCTTACCGCAATCAGGTGCCGTTAATGTTTTTTCTTTTTCTTAATATGACACAGCGAACGAATCCATCTCTATCATAGAAAAGAGTCAGAGACAGATTAGCAATGAATTCATAGCGTCAGAAAAAGCTACCTGTATGTCTACGATTTGACAGACAGCATATAGGGACATGTCCCCTGCGGGTAACAGGCTCAACAAAACAGTTTGGTAGCTGTCTTGTGTGTCTCGTATATGTTATGTTGGGAAGGTGCAGGTGCAGCAGAAAGGTGTTGGGTGCTGTTGGGTAAAGTTTTGTTTATTGGGTGGTTCCTACGTGATGATTGTTGTTGTTGTTGTTGTTGTTGTTGCTCTGTTTAGAAAGCTGGGAGGCCCAGGGTTAGGAATTTGTTGGCACATTTCCTCTTGTTAAATGGTTACCCACGTTTTTGTTGTTGTTGGCGGTGATGGTGGGTGGTGCTGTTGTTGTTGCTCTGTTCAGAAAGCTCGGCGGCTTTTGCCTCAATCAGGTGCCAATACAGCAGTGGGTTGGTGTTTACCACGGTATTGTTGTCGTTGTTGGTGCTGCTGCTGCTGGTGTTGTTTGCTGTCATGTTTGTTGTTAGTGCGGTGGATGTTGTTGCTGCTGCTGCGATTGCTGCTGATGTTGTTGTCTAAAAGCCATGCTCGACTACCGTACCCACCCAAGCAAGTCCCTCCCATTTTTTTTTTTCCCTTTTTTTCAGACTCTGAGATCCCCGAGAAAATGGCCATGGTGCTGCGTGGTGCAAGATGTGGTCGTCGGAAAGCCAAGGGTGTGCGGGCTGCTGGTGACGAGGGCGTTTGGCGACTTCTCTTGCAAGGTATGCTATGGGTGTTGTTGTTGCTATTGCATCGCTGGTGTTGTTGTTAACTGCTGCTGTTGCTCTTGACGTGCCTGGTACTGTTGCTGTTGTTGTTGTTGTTGCTATTGGCGTTCTTACTGCTGCTGCTGCTGCTGCTGTTACTGTTGTTGTTGGTGTTGCTATTGGCGTCCTTACTGCTGGTGGTGGTGTTGTCGCTATGCATGTTGACGTTGTTGTTGTCGTTCTTGCTGTTGTTGCCGCGTCATCATATCCTTTGGCTTCATGGGAGCAACCTATATTCGTTTCCATGCTGATTTATTTTTGGTTTCATGGAAGCAACATTTCACTCCATGTAGTTTTCGCTTCTGGGAAGCAATACCATCCCGTTCACTTCGACCAGAATCTATTTTTCCGTCCCATGTTTTT